CAGGGTGACAGATGACTAGGCAGGTACTGGGCTTTCTGCCTCCTCCGAGAGTCCACTGCTGACCATGGGTTTACCCCGCTTGAAGGGGTCAGGCGCCAGAGACTGGCAGGAGTGACACTTTGCAAATGTGCTTACTGGGAGGTAAGCCTGGGGGGTAGTGGGATGAGTAACCAGCATGGGTAAAAAGTAACATGAGAGCTGGCAGCCTGACAGGAGGAGCAGAAAGGCCAAAGTAAAGAGGAAAAAGGAATTATTTATTCACTGGTTGGCCAGCTACTCAAGGTCAGCACTCTTCACAACCCCAAACATCCCAAGGCCTTGTGCTTTGATCAACCTCACCTATGTATCAGCTGGGTGCTTGGGTGAAATGCAGGATCTCGGCCCTGCCCCAGAAGGTCTGAATCAGAGTGAGCATCTTCTACAAGACCTCATGTCGTTCCCTTGCACTCTGAAGGCTGAGAAGCCTGCCCTACGCCGCAGTTGTTACTGCTCCCATCTCCTGGGTTATGCACCTAAGGCTCGAAGAGGTTAACTACTTCCCACACTGGTGAACTGCAGGCTTCCGTCTGAACTCCAGCTTGTTGTTTAGAGGCTATTTCTCGGAGGGGCTCAAAGCCAGTTCTTCAAGACATTTACTTCAATAGCAAATGTGTATCAAGAAGTAATACGAATATCATGGTATGTAACATGTTGACCTACCATCAATATAAAAATTGATGTAGATCAATAGATGCAGTTGTGCTCAGGATGAATTTTTAAGAAACATGAAAATGAAAAATTGAGTTAAGCAAGTTTCAATGACTTAATTTCTACAATTTTCAAAATCTCTTACTTTTAGGAAACTACCTTATTTTTTACTCCCTGATGACTTAAGGTAACAGGAAGCTGAAGCACTCTGAATTAAGACACACAGGACAGACTTTTCTCTTTCTAGGCACAAGTATCAGCTGACGACAATGACCAGACTGCCCCATAGGTAGATGAGGATAATCTAAAACTGTGGGTTCTTGGGCTAAGAAAGAGGTTTGTACGTGGGATCAGGCTTTTGCAATCTTATTTGATGCTAAGGGTCTTGAGTAATGATGCTTTCTAAGTGGGTGTCTTTGGGATTCTGGACTCAAGACAGCAGGTCCTCTCTCTCCCAGTCACCTCTCCACTATGTATTATAGCATCAGGAGAAGACCAAAGGGTAACTCCACCATGAATCAGGGAAGAGCTGAAGAGTGAGCCCACTCTTCCTTTGCCTGTATTTTTAACAGACTGTATTTCTTGGCAGGCATTGGAAGGTAGGGAAGACATCTTAGAAGATATCCTTCACATAACAATAAGGAACAGAAACAACCCAGAATACTACAAGGAAACACAATGAAATAGAGATGCATGATCCATAAAAAGAAAGCTTCCAGGACTTCCTTGGTGGTCCAGTAGGTAAGAATCTGCCTGCCAATGCTGGAGACATGGTTCAATCCCTGGTCAAAGAAGATTCCACTTGCCGAGGGCAATGAAGCCCATGTTCCACAACTACTGAGCCTGTACTCTAAAGCCCGAGAGCCGCAACTACTGAATCTTTGCACCTACAGCCAGTGCTCTGCAATACGAGAAGCCACTACAATGAGAAGTCCGTGCACCACAACCAGAGCAGCCCCTGTTTGCCGCAAACAGAGAAATGCCCACACACAGCAACAAAGACCCAGCACAACCAATAAATAAATAAATATAATTTAAAACTGCACACGCTCAAGCACACATACACACAAAGAAAGGTTTCAGCTCTAGCTGAGCTCTAGCAGCTACTTTCTCTTTGCCTCCAGGCTGCATGGGTGGTTTTTGCCTGTCTGCCTTCCAACCTGCACCCCCCCCCACCCCCACCGCCAAGGTACCCCACGGCTCTCACAGTGGGACCTCTCCTCCCCGTGGTTCTGCCCCATCATCCTCTCGACAGCACCCTCTCCCTTTCTAAACTGGTCCTGCTTCTTCCTTGCTGGACTCCTGGAAGGCTTCTGCTTTGGCCTCATCACAACACTGGACACATTCTTTCAATTTCTGTCCCCATGGCTCACTGCCCCTCTAATTTCCAATGTCAAGTGAAGAATTCCATCGATCCAGTGTGGCTTTCTGAGCAGCCAACCACTGAAGAGCCTTGGGGCTGCCTCGGGCCAGAGGACAATCCCCTGGACCAATCAGCCCAGGGTGGAGGGGTCATGCGATGGCATTCCCTAATCACATGCCTTAGAAGGTGGGGAGTGTGTGGAGTAGGAGTAATAGCCTCGCAGCTATCTCCAGAGTTTCAGTGAGTCTAGAATCTCAGGGTGAGCGAGGACCTCCTGAGTCATCGGTCCAAACCTGTGCCTGCCCACAAGCACTCACTGCAGTCCCAAACCCCCCAGGATTGATGGCGTCACTTCCCTTCCCAGCAATGCTGGGTGGGAGGAGAGAAAGGGACAAGGGATGGGAGAAAAATTCACTGACCTTCCTGCTGAAGTCAGTGTTGAATACGACTCTGGAAACGTGACTGTAAAAACACTGCACTTAAAGGGTGTGTCTGATTTCTATGAACACCCATGAGGCACTACAGGATGGGGAAGATTTGAAAGAGGAAGCTAAGTTCTCATATACTGTGCCGTGTTCAAAAGCCTCAGAGGATGTCCTGAATTTATGTGAAAACTTTAGGGTATTTTCTGTCTTCTGGGGCCTTTCACATCAAAGAATGTTGGGTAGTTATAATGCATTAAAATGGAAACAATATCCCAGATTTTTGGCACTCAAATTCTAAAGTAGACACACTGCTACTCCATCTTTTATAATACTTCCAGCACGTGGGAGGTCAGGTAACCTGTGGAGTTTTGGAGGGATTTCCAAATCACACCCCAAATCTCTTGGGCCAACAAGGTTAGTAGTTTAGGATTCTGATTGGCATCACGGAAATTATCTTTCTAGTGGCAGTATTACTTTGTCCAAGAAGGGTGGCTGAAAAGCTTTCAGAACCAATTTACTGTTTTGTTTTTCTAGGGCTAGATCGCTCAGTCATGTTTGACTATTTGTGACCCCATGGGTTGTAGCTCGCCAGGCTCCTCTGTCCATGGGACTCTCTCGGCAAGAATATTCGAGTGGGCTGCCATGCCTTTCTCCAGGGGATCTTCCCACCCCGCATTGAACCCATGTCTCTTGCATCTCCTGCAATGGCAGGTGTATTTTTTTTTTTTTTTTTACACCACTGAGTCAGCTGGGAAGACCCTTTTGAAACTGAAAAAGCTGCCAGAAGCCCCTAGGAGGAAGCTGCACTTGGGTCCAAAACCAATGTAGTTTCAAGTCCACGTGGACATACAAACTACCTTTTTTTTGAGCATGTACAGGAGGGAGAAGGGAGTTACAATTTTGTTTTTTTTAAGAGCTCAAGTCTTACTAAAACCAGCTCTGAAAGTCTTAAAACCAACACTACGATCCACGTATTTTACAATGAAGCAGAGAATGACAATATCCAACGTGCATTTTTAAACCAAGGTTCACCAGAATGGCAGCTGAAAAATGCTCTGCTCACAAGGAGCGGATTTGACACAAAGGGAACGAAGATGTATACATGCAGGGGAACATCTTAAGTAACCATTTATAATCTCAGCTGATTTTATTTTACTTGGGGGAGAACACATGGAATAATACATTAGGAAATAAATCTTGTTAACCAGCCCTAGTTTCTCAGCCTTGGCACTAATGGCATTCTATGCCAGGTAATTCTTTGCTGTGGGGCTGTCCTGTGCACTGTTGGGGGGTTCAGCAGCATCCCTCATCTCTACCCAGTAGATGCCAGGGGTCCCTACCCTCTGTCATGACAACCAAAATTGTCCCTAGACATTGCCCAGTGTCCCCACCGGAGAACCACTACACTAAACCAAAACAGAATTCTAGCTGTTTACAGCAAAGGCAGTTATCTGGAAATAAATTAGCTTCCCTGGAAATAGGCTGACGTGTTTGTCCCTTCCATATAGTTAGCACTTAGAACTGAAGAGGCGGTGGTAGAGCTTCCCCTTTTCTGAACACGAGGTCAGATAACTGAGAGCAAGGGAATTTTCTGTGTGTACATCACGGGTGCTCCCCCAGCGATCAGACTTCCAACTTCCTGAGTAAGGGAGACATGGGACCAGACCACCACAGTCCCTGATCATTCCAGAAAGCGAGTAACTTTTATGTTTAGGAAGACGCATATTTTCCAAGTCCTGGAGTCTGTTCTGTCTTATACAAACATATCTTCCAAAAAACTCGCAACATCGCATGCTAAGGCAGACTTTCCTTATAAGAGGATTTGCATGCCATGTGGACAGGTCACACCCCCAATCCAGTTCCTTTTTTATTGTATCTTTTTCAGATGAGGGCTGGAAACCACCCAGGAGAACCAAGGGGCCCTCCAGGGCCCAACAATCCAATGTTCTTGGAAAACCTGGCTCAGCCCGTGGCCAAGAATGCTGCTTCAACCAAGATGTCCTCAAGTAAACTGTCTGCCGTCAGCCCCGGCAGGCATCTCCCTTCCCTGGTTAGTTGAGTACTGACCAGACTAGTGACCAAAGCCAAGAGGATGTGAAGGCCAACGCCTCCCCCAGGCAAAGGGAGCTGCCTCCCCTTACGAACCATTTCACAGAGGCCCAGGAAATGAATCACTTGGCAAAGGATCTCCCTGCACAATGCCTTGCTCCAGAAACGCATGCAGCCCCTGAGGGGCCCCGGCTTCCGGGGGCAAGCCCAGGATGGGAGAGGAGCCGACACATGTCACTTTCAACATGCAAAGGATGAGGGACCCTGCGGGGCAGCCACTGTACAGATGAGCAGGTATAGCTTTGCTCAGACACCCAAATACCCATCGGCCCAAATCCCCATGTGTTTTTGTTTATTTCTAAGCAGACCCTGTTAAGCTGTGGGCACTTGGCTTGATTACTCCCTGGATCAAAGCTGAATTAAATTACACGGCAAGTTTCTTTGTGACCGAGAGGCATGCACACAGGCCGACTCACTTTCCAGAAGCTGTCCACTTTGCCGTACACGAGTGACTGGTTCTGCCTCTTGATTTCGTTGATGTGGTGGATGTCGCTGGAGTTCAAGTGCTGCTCGACCACAAAGCCCAGGAAGCTATTGTCTGGAGTGTGAGCTGGGGTGGAGAAGACGGGACATGGCAGTTAAAATTCAATCAGCAGGAACAAACACCAACCACTACCAATTTCACTCAAGCTGTCGCGAGCATAATTAAATGTTTTCATGTCACCTCGTTCTTTCTTTACCTGGGAGAGGGTTCAGGGGGGTGGCCTGCTCCCACCCAGCCCCAACTCCACCTTCATGGAGAAATAATTCTCTCCAGGAAGGAATAACCCAAGCCCAACCCTGCTTTTCTCAGTGGAAAGTCCATCTGTTTAAAAACATTCAGCTGCGCCCTCCCCTCCATCCTGTTTCCTCAGCACAAAGACACTGGCTCCCGACAGAAACGCCCTCATCCAGGTTACACCAACTAGCGGCTGGAAATCTGAAGGGAGCAAGGCTGAGTCCACGATCCCCAACAGGGTCAGCAGACCCCCGCACGCTCTCCTCCGACTCCAGCTGTGCTCGCCGTCCAGTGAACCAGGCAACATCACCCCCACTCTGCACTGCCTCTAAGAATCATTCACTAATGAAAGATGTAATTCTGCATGGATGGATGGAACGAAGACAGAGTAAAAGGTGAAGCTCACTGGGATGTGAACCACTTCTGAAAAGTCAACCAACCTAAGAAACCACGTCTAATCTCCAAGATGGACAACTCTGGAAGAGAGAAGGCATGTTCCTCTGGATCATTCATCATTTGAGTTCTAAAACTTCTCTCTTTTTTTTTTTTCATTTATTCATTCTTTTCTTTTTTGGGCCATGCCGCATGTGGGATAATCATAGTTCCCCAACCAGGTATCAAACCCCTGCATTGGGAGTGCAGAGTCTTAACCACTGGACTGCTAGAGAAGTCACTAAACCTTTTCTGTTTTAACACCTGACCAAGGGAGAAAGCAAGCCCACACCCTCCGCAAACGTTTCTCTCTCGTGTCCATAATTTTAAAAAGGAATTTCACCAGAAGGCAACCATCAAGTCTCTCTCAAGGAGACAGAGAGCCCTTCTCTCCTCTCCAAACATCTGGCCAGAGAACTCTGCAGAAGATGACAACGCTGCAGAAGCCCCACCACAGGAAAAGCAACTGCTTGGCTTGGCTTTGAGCTGAACAGAACGAAAAATAACTTAAATGGAGAGAGACTGAATATTTAATAAAATCTACACAGCGACGCTCCCACCCTATTCATTCACAGGTGGGTGGCTGACAACCCACAACCAGAGGAGGAAGTTGGTTCCCGCGTCTTGTTTCGGTTTTCTCAGGAGTCTCCCCGGCAGGAAGAGGGCACAGAAGCCCTTTAAGATGCTTCAGGGACCTGAAGGCCCGGGTCGCCCTCAGGCACCCGCAAGAAGATGAACGAGGGAGCTGGGCAGAGAGCCCTGAGCCGTGGACGCGAACGAGCTGCATAAATACTTGTGATCGCCATCCTGTCTCCCAGGCTGCAGCCTAATGGGGGTGACAGAATGAGGAGATAATAGGGTTGTGACTGGGGACTTGTGTGCGGTCTGGCCAATCTGTTATTTCATTTCTGCGTTTTTGAACAAGTGCCCAGAGGCGATGGCAATGGCTGCAGTTGGCTGGAAAGTAAATTACTGAATAAATTCTACTGCCAACAAGAGGCAATGGTCGCTTTTTTACTTCTCCCCCTTTTGGAAGAGCTGGCGAGGAGGGGGTCTGACGGGGTTTAGGGGAGGGGCAGAGAGCCTGTGTGCATTTGAAATGCTGATAAGACAGTTTAAAAAAAATCTCTTTCTAAAACTTTTGATCCATGGTAGAAATCCTGAAATAGAATCTGATGCTTTAAACGTTGAATTTGTGGTTTTGTCTTCAGAAAATTGATGTGGTGACTAAAGCTCCATGCTTTAGATATTTGTTTCTGCAGTTCTGTTCTCTAGTTTCTCGGTGGGCCCGTTTTAAAATATGGGATAATCTAGCATCTAAAACACTTAACAGGTTAGAAAAATAGATCCTGCACTAAGGTGCTTTCAAAAAGAAAATGATCATCAAGACCCAAGAAGAAAAAAAATAGGTCTGTTTATATTAAAAAATATGACTGTTTACATTTCTGCGTCAAAGATTCCCCACAGCTTGAACAATAAGAGGGAGGGGAAGTAAACAATCTACTCAAAAAAACTTGTAGGGAACGGTGAGCTTTTACCATTTTATGACTGGTCATTTGGTATTAAACTTGGACACTGCATGAAGAAAGAAATACACATACAAGCTCTCTGCTTAAGTTTTCATCCACACACCTTACTTCAACTCTTTTCTTGTCCCCAGGTATAAACTTGGGGACTGACAACCTTCAGAAGCCATTTAAGCAGCTCAAGTGAGACTTAAGGAGAAATACGGTAGCACTTACAAACACACTGCCACATTTTATGAGCACCAGGCAGATCAGCCACATCTCTTTCCAGGCCACACTGAACCTGTCGCGGGACACCGGCAGTCTGCAACATGAGCAGATGCTCACCTGAGATCTGCCCGGCGGGGGAATTGGAAGTAACCACAGAGCAGGTATGCCTGGCCTCCAAGGAGCTGGGTGTCTGCCTGGTGAGAAGCCCTTCAAGAGCCCCCATCTGACACAAGCCTCCTTCCTGAAGCTGAGAATAGTAAACCACAAACCACAAGTGCAGGCTGGTGGATCTGCAAAGATCTTTCTGTGGAGATCTACCCTCAGGCCAAGCTTTGTTTTTTGCTTTGCCTTCAGAAGGGAACACAAACTTCAGCTGTGTTGGGAGGGCTTCAAAGGGAGGGTATTTACATTTCAAGGTAAATCAAAGAAATCCCATCATAAATGAGACACAGGAAATCCTGTACTTCTGGAAATCACTCCATCCCAGGAGGTAAACAAATGAGATTAAAAAAAAAATAGCTGACAATCTGAGCGCTTTATAGTGATCATTTCATTATATCTTCACAAAAACCTTATAACATGTTTGTACAGATGAGAAAACAGAGAGAGAGTCACTTAAACTATCCAAGTTGACAAGCCAGGAAATGGCAACGTTGGGATTCAGAGTCAGACCAGCTGTTCCCAGAATCCAACCTCCTTAAAGCACTTTAATACACAGCTTCAGACGCCAAGTATCTTATTTTCTGGACTCTGTGAACCATAATGGTAAACATGCTTTACAGGAAAATAATCTTATAAGGCAGATTAGGATATACATGAAAGAACAATAAAGTATAAATATATATATGGAGTCTTCATAATTGATGCTTTCTAATTGTGGTGCTGGAGAAGACTCTTGAGAGTCCCTTGGACTGCAAGATCAAACCAGTCCATCCTAAAGGAAATCAGTCCTGAATATTCATTGGAAGGACTGATGCTGAAGCTGAAACTCCAATACTTTGGCTACCTGATGCAAAGAGCTGACTTCCTAGAAAAGACCCTGATGCTGGGAAAGATTGAGGGCAAGAGGAGAAGGGAGTGAAAGAGGATAAGATGATTGGATGGCATCACTGACTCAATGGACATGAACTTGAGCAAATTCTGGGAGAAAGCAAAGGACAGGGAAGCCTGATGTGCTGCAGTCCATGGGGTTACAAAGAGTCAGACGTGATTTAGCAACTGAACAACAACAATATGGAGTCTTTCCTCAGTTTCTTGAGCAACTTATGTTATATGTGTATGGAACCAAGCTGATTTTTCCTATATGCAGCAACTGGAAGGGACATTGTTTCTGAGCTGACTGCTGCAATGATTTTTTTAAAGAATTACTGTTGGTTTGAAAAGTGAAAGTGTCAGTCACTCAGTCATGTCCAACTCTTTGTTGACCCCATGACTGTAACCCACAAGGTTCCTCTGTCCATGCGATTCTCCAGGCAAGAATACTGGAGTGGGTTGCCATTCCCTTCTCCAGGGGATCTTCCTGACTTGCCACACATTTTAGAGGACTCTTTCTGCGAACCAATTTTATGTGCTAGTTATTGAGGAATTACAACATAAAGATGAGTTTCTGGCCTCACGAAGCTTATCAACTACTTAATAAAAGAGGGACAGATACACCATATTCACCAGGCAGTCATAATGGCCTCTTTGGAAATGCAATTCACAATTTTTATTAAGTCAAACTGAGCCTTCTTTCAATGGCATAAATTCTCCCAGGTCTGATTTTTCAAACAGTCAGTTCTAAACATCTCTACGAAGCACAAAATCCATTCTAACAGACGCCTGCCAGCCTCTAACTGCAGCTGGCCTGCAGCTTTGGGGACCCCCATGCCACCTGGTCACCAAGGGCAGAAACTGCAGAGCCAGCTGGCCTCCCTCTGTAGCCCCACAGCCAGTCACCAAGTCCAGGGGATGTCAGCTTCTGAAAACCCGTCACCTCCTTCTCTCCTCTTCACCTACCTAGTTATGACCTCATCAAGTCTTGTCAAAACTTCAATAGACAAGTTTGTCTTTCCTTTAAATAGAAATATATTCTCAGTGTATGACTTATCTCAGACAGTAGAGAATGATAGAAGGAAAGAAAGATGTCACCCATCAATTTTACCACCTAGAAATAACTACTATTAGGCTCCTTTTTTTCTAGACTCATGGAGCCTTTTTAATCCTCAAGCCAAAATTGGATCTCACCGTACCTATTCTTTTATGAAATTCTCTTTTCACTTACACAATGTGCCATGGGTATCTTTCTAGGGGTAATAACCACAGCTCATCACAGCTTGTTAAAGCAGCACCGCGCTTCAGCACCTGGATTCTCCCCATTAGATGGAATGCCCCTAGTTCTGGTCTGCCAGCATCGCTATGTAGAACTAACTGCGCTTCCCAACCAGCCATGCAATTCTGTTAGATTCCGATAGCCTGAATTGGTGCCAGTCCTGATCCCTTGTCTCCCCAGCTCCCCATGCCTCCAAGGATGGGCACTTGACCGAGAGGACTCTACCTGACCATGGCTCAGTTGAAAGATGGGTTTATAACCCAAGTTCCATCCATCACGGTGGCTCCATGATGAGTGGCAGCTACTTTTGGGGTCAACATCTTTCTGCTACAGTCACTGAGGGAGCAGGGCGG